TTCTCACTGGTTAGTTCCTTCAAAAGCTTCAATTTCATTCAATTTGCCTTTAGTCCAGATCAGGCATGCAACCATCCCAAGCTAGGGCTCGCCGATCGGCAGCGAACATGTTCAGTAGCGAACCGTTCGGTGAACGAACATGTTCGGTAACAAACCGTTTGGTGACCGGACATGTTCGGTAACAAACCGTTTGGTGCCGATCAGCGATTCCTAGTTTGAGATTGTTACATGCCTAGCCATTGTGTAGCCCTGATTTTGCTCTATCTTTTAGCTACGCTTCAAATTTTTTCACATCAAAAGCCACGCCGAAATAATAGTTTTTCTGTCAGTTGTCATGCATTTTTTCATTAATTTTTTAAATTTTGGGTATAGTAATGCTTTGAGTAAAAGTCTCATAACTCCATCAGAGTACAAGCTTTTTCGGTCGGGTTTGTTTTGTTTCAATCGGAAATGATTGCTCTTCTCTGTCTAACTGCAAAACCAAAACTTCGATCATGTTTTCCGTGTCTTGCTTGAGCACATTGTTGGAAACGGAGAGGTTGTCAACTTTTGACGTATTTTTGTAACTTCGTTCTCCAGCACGCCATCTGCTCTAAAAAGCTTTTTTACAGGCCACGAGAAAGAGCACATTTGAAAGTACCAAACACAAACTGAGTTCTCACTTTTTCTACACTTTTTAGCGAAAATAGTAGCAGAAGAAAAAGTTCAAGTAGAAAAAAATTGAATTTGGAAAGTTTTCATTCTTTTCGACTTTCATCTAATTGGCTTAGTTTTCTTGATTAAAGTACTGAAAATATAGTTTAGGTATGATTTTGTAGAGTATTTCAAGGCGCATCTTTTGCAAGAAGTAGCTCAAATCGATAGAAGAAAAGGGAGAAAAGACGAAAATACGAAGAGGGTAATTTCTTCTGAAGCACTCGTTATATCTGCGAACGACCTTCCATGACTTTGAATCAATTCCAGAATACATTTGAAGCCATCTGATTTCCTAATATTCATCGATAACGAAGGTGAAAATGTTGACAAATGGACTGAACAAGTATCCGCCGCGAAAGGATAGAGAGCACGAGCGATTTAAAACTGCTCCAGATTCTCTATCGTTAGTTCTATGAAACACGGCATTATGGTGGTTTATCAACTTGGGCTACACGAAACGAAACAAAAAGTTCTTAACTCATGGCGGATTTAATAGGATCCATTACAGCAAACGTTTGACTCCAATTATTAAAACACTTCCCTGAGAGTTGAAGTATATGTCAATAAACCGCTTACCATTTCCACGACAGATACCTTTGACTGCACGTACTATCTTGCGACGATGTAGGTGATCATATGATAATTCATGATACAATTGATAGTCTACCGAGTAATCTCAAAGTATTCATTCTAACTCGTGTGCGACCAACTCCATTCATACAGAAACTTCGTTGCATTCTCGTTGCTTTCGATTCGATTATGAGAGAAAATTATGGCGACAACAGCCTAACTGACCGTATAAGAAAAACTTTCAGTGTAATGTAAGTTATTATGTATCAGCTCGCAATTATGCATAAAATCAAAAAATTCTAAAACGTCTCCAGTTCCACATCCCCAATGTCCTGGAAATCATTAAAAAAACTCAGTGTCTATCCGTATTACAGAAAAGTCCACAGCGCGAACTGTTCTTGTCTATATCAACCAGATTTGAAAGAGTGACGGTATAATATAGGCAGCTAAAGTCAATAAAATAATTAGCATTTTTAATAGTTAAAATGAATGCCATCAATTTCGATTGAAAAAAAACATATTAATTAAAACAAAGAAGGATTTTGAGACAAAAAAATGATTTTATGGGACTTTGTAGCCTTCTTAGTAGAATTTAACATTTATAAGTGATTCACCGCCAATAGTAATGACAGTTAAACAATATAAATTGATCTACATTAAATGTGTCCTGTTGTTCGGTGCAATGGCACTTGAATTGTTGTGTGAAGCGGATTTCGTGATAGAATTTGTGAATCATGAACATAAAAATGCCAATTATTAACTGAACCAGTAACACCTTTGAATGGTTGATTTAATACCAATGTCGTACCGTCCCATTTTTGAACAGAAATTCGTGTAATTTTTTTTGTATGCCCATTAGAGGTTTTTTGAGAAAAATATGCAGCGCCGTTTGGGTGTATGATGGCTTGTGCCACTTCATAATAATCAGGTCCACGGTAAATATCCTTATCATCAAACAGAGAATACATAGCTATGCAAACAACAGGACGATCCGTTTTATTTCGAACAATAGCTGAATACACATTATTTGTAGATTGTAAACCAAACGTTGTCCTTTGATATTGAGTGGGATACCACATTGTCTTACGCCGCATGATCTAAAAGTGTAAAGCTAGAACAAATTAAAATTTTTATGAATAGAAAAAATATACACATATGGAAGAGCAAATTAGAGGTGTACAGGATGACCAGGTAGAGTAAAAAACTTTATAGGATAGGGTAGGTTAAGGGTACGAAACATTTTTATAGGATAGGGTACAGGTTGAGACGTTTATCATAGACTGTATCCTATGAGATACAGAACCTTTAATATTGAGAGATATTCATTTCGTTAATAGTGCATGACTTCGTTATCCATCAGAAGGAATCTATGTCTGTTTTTATGGGATGTAGAGCAGAACAGTTTTTGAATAAAACTGTAGATAGAAAAACGACCTTCGATCGCTGAATGAATGATCCTATTTTACTCCTACTTTCTTATGTGCAGGGTAGGGCGCTGGTTGCAAACTGACTGAAGTCAATAGGGTAGGATAGGGTAGGGTACAGGGTACAAAAATCCATACCCTGCACACCACGGAAAAACAATCACAATGACGATTAATCTAACATGCTATTGTACACAGTCTACGACTTTAATTACTTATCATTTTTTTCTCGTCAAGAGTGAATGTAATCAACCGTAAAATATTACATACAATAAAGCAAACATCAACAAACTCTTTGTATTTTTTGTCTTGGCATGCTTTTTTCATCTAAAAATCCTCGAGGCACCACAAAAGATGTATAAAATCCTCAAAAAATTATTTAAAACTTACTTTCACTGATTACAACGTTCTCGACTATCGACTTTTTAATCGTCACTATAGATAGCCTAAACGTGGTATTATTGCAGGTGGATGTTCACTTGCCCGGTTAAGGAAGGATTCTCCCTACCAGAAACATGTTTTTGTCCAGGAACATCCGATATGGATAAAATTTTCGTAGAATATGTATATTATTCTAGAAAGCTGACAGTGAAGTTTGAGTCCGAAATGTTGAGGTTTTCTAGAGTTATCCTGAAAAAAAGGGTAAAAGAGTAGCGCTAGTCGGCTCTCCACAAAAAATCTCCGGGGAGTCCCCGAAACGTATACGAAATATATAATACCTAGAGACTCCCCAACATGTGCAATCATCGGGGAGTCCCTGCCAATTCCTCATTCACCGTTTGCTTTGCAGACAGACACCATATAAATATAATATAGTTCTATGATAGAATTTTACGAATTTTCTTGTAGTAAGTCATCATTAATGTGTCAACCTTCGTTGGCTGATATGCGCTACACTGGTACCAGTGATGATACCTTAATTACAAATTAGTTATATGAAGCTAAAAGACATGGACCAATAATCCTATAGCCAAGAGATGATAGTTCAAAATGGTCTCAAAATGTAGCTTAGACTTGGCGCCACAACTTAACAGAGTCGAATATTTTGATTTGTCCATGGGTTTTTTCGTTGCGTTAATAACGCGTTAAAGTTCATTCTTTTAGTGGATGATAAAGTGGGTTACCAGCATACTTTTCTTGTTACAAAAAATTTAAGGCGATATAACGGATCAAATAATGTATCGCGTTATCGTGGTCTAGAAAAAAAATTATGTATGGCGAGCTAAAGATCAGAATGTCTTACGACGCACTAAAACTATATTCTGTTGCAACAGAATATATTTTTCTCTTCGCTACCTTCTTTCTACAGTTTAATCTCTTTTAAACTAGATTTCATCATGTTTTACTCGGTATTTACCTCGAGAACATGAAGCGATTCGAGATTTTCTCTTGAAACACCTCTTTAAAGCACAGTACTTTATTTTCTTTGTTTTAAGCTTTGAACAGCATTCCATTTCAGTGCGACAAAGTTGAACTATTATTAATTTGCTTATCTAAAATGTGATATTGCTTTTACCAGTGAAAAATTTCTCAGATGTGTTTCTTCAGGTTCTTCATCCGTGTATTTTTCAGTTCTGATCCGAAACATTACTGTCATTTGATCTCAGAATAGAAGTGAGAGGGGCTGTGTTTGCGTTTCACCTGTGAGTTTTGCCAATAAGGTAACATTTACCTTATGTGAAGAAAACATAAGGTAAATGTTACATTCACAATTGGACTTCCAGTGAATCTGTAGATATTTGACACTCGGATCAGTTCGTTGCTAGAACCAATCTAGCATCCTGTGAGTGAGGTACTCTGTCTGTGCCGCTATTCTCTGTATGTAAAACAGGATCGAAATGATCGTCGTTACATTCTAGAACACTCAAATGACAAAGCGATCTTACATTGAGATAGCTCACAATTTGTGATGATTCAACCTTTGTGTGCATTTCTCTCACTATGGCGGATTTTCATTCTGACATCTCTGCACAGTTAACATATTTCTGAAAAGACTTCAGATTTGATGCACTGGCTGTAAGTAGCTTGTGTTGAAGGAAGGTTTAGGAAATGTAAGTTAATTGTTCGACATGTGACACGGTGAAATATAGATATAAACTAGAGACCAACTATGCTGCGCATAGATTGGACAGTCAACTGAGTGAAACGGGAAACAGACGGAATTAGGACATCTACAAACACATAACAGTTTCACTATTCCTCAAGAATTCTTATATTCTTATATCAGCTGATTCATTATCGTGTCATATGTTCTACTATAGTATAACTTTCATTATATCCATTACTGTAGCATATATTCACGATGAAGTGAATCACGTGACAATTAATTATCTGATAGCAGAAACGATAGAGTTGCCTCAAAAATATACTCATTTTGTGACACTAAGTACGCGATAAGTAAAGCAAATATCGAAAAAATCACTTCAGGTGTGTCATCTCCCACATCTCTACTTTCGAATCATCTTTTTCCCAAACCTGTACGATCAGAGGTAACTGAGAACGAGTGTCTGACTCGAATGGAAAAAACAGTGTGGAAAGAAAGAAAGAACTAGATGCCAACTATGCTGCGCATAGATTGGAAACGACTGAGTGAAACGGTAAACAGACGAAATTAGAAGATTCAGAAACTCACAATAGTCTGTGTAGTTTTCAAGAACAATTCCTATACGCCTATCTCAGCTGATTCATTATCCGATTATATATTGTGCTAAAGCTTTATCGTAACATAAACACTGAAGCATATATTCACTATGAAGTGAATCACGTGAAGATTAATTATCTCATAGCAGAAACGATAGAGTTTTCTAAAAATTATACTCATGTTGTGGCACTAGTCACACGATGACTAAAGCAAATATTCGAAAAATAACTTCAGATATGTCAGCTACCACCTCTCTATTTTGGAATCATCCTTTGCCTAAATCTGTAAGATCAGAGATAATCGAGAATGAGTGTCTGACTTGAACACGAAAGCACAGTGTGGAACGAAAGAAAGAAGAATATTGCTAGGAAACGCTCGAAGTTAAACAGAATAAGTCTCCCTATCGTTTCACTCAGTCGACTTAACTAGATGCCAACTACCCTACGGGCAGATTGAAAATCCGACCGAGTGAAACGTATCTCAGAAACACTTTAGACACTACTTGAAGCCCTTAAATGCGATTAAAACACCACAGTGCTCTAGTAGTAAATATATGATGCATTCTAACGGTGATAATGTTTCAGACTATAAATGCATCAAACTATACAGAAGTATAGACCGATAACTAGCACTTGACTACTTAGTGAATCACTCTACACTATTCATACTGAATGTATATGAAGTGTCACGTGACAATTAATTATCTCATAGAAAAGTTATTAAAAATATGCTCCACTTTTGGGACTCAGTGCTTAATAATTAAAACGTATATCAAAAAAATAACTTAAGCTGTTTCATCTACCTTTCTTGAACTCTCGAATGATGTTTTTCGCAAATCTGTACGGTTAGTGATAGCTGAGAACGAGTGGCTGACTCGAAGCAGAAAGTAGGGTGTGGAAGAAAAAAGAACGAACTAGAACTAGAACTAACTATGCTGCGCATAGACTGGAAAGTCGACTGAGTGGAACAGTAAACAGATGAAATTAGAAGATTCAGAAACTCAAAACAGTCTGACTACTTTTCAAGAAAAATTCCTATATTCTTATATCAGCTGATTCATTATCGTGTCATATGTTCTAATATAGTATAGCTTTACATCATATCCAGTACTGTAGCATATATTCACTGTGAAGTAAATCACGGGACAATTAATTATCTCATGACAGAAACGATTTAGTAATGTAAAAAATATACTCATTTTGTGACACTAATTATATAATAACTAAAGCAAATGTCCGACAACTAACTTCAGCTATGTGATCTACAATCTCTGCACTTTCGATTCATCTTTTTCGCAAACCTGTACGATCAGAAATAACTGAGAACGAGTGTCTGACTCGAACGAGAAAACACAGTATGGAAAGAAAGAAAGAATTTTTTGTAGTGAAACAGAATAAGCCTCTCCGAGTTTCACTCGGTCGGCTTAAAGAAGAATTTTTCTGGGTGAAAAGGAATAAGTCTCCTTAAGTTTCATTCAGTCGACTTAAGTAAAGGAGAAAAAAGTGCTTTTAGATGTCGTACGATTTGAACGTGATCATAGAAGAACAGAAAGCTTTTTAAAAAGTTAATAAAGCAGTATAAAGAATAGCGCAGAAGTCCTATCTCAATCACTATTTTCTCAATGTTCAAAGTTGATCGCCAAGTCTCAATCTTTTTTTTAAAAAAAATCTCATTCAATTGTCTACATAAAACATATTGAACATTTTTTTATATACTATAAGAATAAAAAAATATAGAGGAAATACGGGAAAGCGACTACTTTCAAACCGGAAAAACAGGCTTTTCATTTTCAGTCCCTTATACTTTGCGATACGAAAAAAGAGAGAATGGCCATTTTGTAGTTCTCGACAAGCTCTATCAACTGGCTATATTTAAGACTCTTCATAGGCTTAAGCGGTCGCAGGAGGATCTTTTTTCTTTTAGTGATTTTGCTCAAAATCATCGTTTTCTAACCGCAGTTTTGAGACACTTAGAAAAATTTATGTGATTTGATCCAAATCACATATTATGCCTTTAGATCTGATTTATCTTAAAGCAAAATAATTCTTCTGTTACATCCAAACAGAGAAAGTTGAATAGCCCCGTTTCGTTTCCTGTGCCAAGGCGAGGAAATCAAATTTTCCCTTTTTTTTTACTTATAGTAAAATTTCCATTCATGGCAGAAAAAAAGGTTTGTAGGGAACTTATAATACAAGAAACGAGCGAGTTCGTCTATGATCACGTTCAAATCGTACGACATCTAAAGGCACTTTTTTCTCCTCTACTTTATATCTGTATTTCACCGTGTCACATGTCGAACAATTAACTTACATTTCCTAAACCTTCCTTCAACACAAGCTACTTACAGCCAGTGCACTTTTATTCATTATGTGGCTATCGTTCAGTTATCTAGGACAATACAATAGTACATCAATGCGACAAAATGTCGTTTGATGAAAAATCCTTCGACGAAATATCGTGGACTCGAAATGACTAATTGACTTGCATTGTATATCTATTATATTCACTAAAAGAGAACGAAGGATAAAACACAGTGGCGATAATATACGCACACGGTCTGTCTGGTTTTCTCGTTCTTTCGACAGATAGATGAAATAAAAACTAGATTGCAATTACGGTACGCACAAGTTGCGATGTTGACAGACACTGCATTCTAGTTATTACTCCATAACTAGTTTCCCCCTCAGTGCACGTAGAAGTTAGGAATAGCAATGACCTGTGTTTAATACCAATCACATAGAAGTTGCAGAACACAAGGAAAAGAGAGAGAGAATTATATTTCGTCTCAAGAACAAATGGCGCCGGACAATCAACTCTTATAAATGTGCGAAAAGTTTTTAAGTCCAAAAAACATTTTACTTCTACTTGTGTAGCTTATGACGTTGAACCTGGACTTATGTTTGAAAAAAAAACCGTGCGGTTGTCAATCTGCCGTATCCAGAGACAAAGGTGCAACCGGTACGAATTATAATGCCGACCGGTATACCGGCATTAGTATGAAGTACAATCAGTCGGCCGATATTGCTGGTATTTTGCGGTATGATATGATATTTTTCGAAAAACATCGTGTAAATACGATGTTTGCAAAATTAAGAATTCGGCTTCCTTAAGTTAAAGCGTCAAGTCTAAGCTACATTTTGAGATCACTCTGAACTTTTTTGCACTTAAAATGACGGACAAATGTTTGCCGCATGAACAGCTAATACTCAAAAACCAGCAATTGCGAGAAAAACGTCAGGTATTTGTTAATGTACTTTAGTGCTTGTAGGAAAATGCTTGTACCTGTTTAACAGAACGGCGCACAGAGTTTTGTGCTCTGTTTTATTTTGATCAGAGAATGTTGTTCTAAAAATCGATGCGATGAGAATAGTTTAATTGCATAAGTATTGGAGAAAAAAAAGTAGAGTTCGTATATTTTATTTTTCAAGGTTTTCAAAAAACTTTATCTGAAGCCAAGAAACTTTATCACTAGAGCTGAAAACGATACAAAGTCTGAAAATAAACACTTTGAGCTCTCTAACCACTAGGGATGTTCGGTTCTCGCTTCTCACTAAGAACCCGAACTGCGGTTTCTTAGACGATTCCTCTTTTTCGGAACCGAGACTTGCCTTTCTTTTAACAAAATGAAAACACACTATTGGCAAAGCCACAAAAAGATATTGAAAAATTATTTTCCGATTCTAAGCTGAGAGCCGAGAACCGCGGTTCTGTTCTAATTTGTAATTAAAATGGTAAAAGTTCACCGATGAATTAAAGCTGGTTTCCAGCCATTTTTGCTGTAGGGGCTATAATTACCGCATTTCGGGTAAGTATAGCCACTTAATAGCAACGAACTGGGAATTGAATGGCTAATTAACGGTAATGAGTTTAGAAACAATTTTTAGATCAATGGATAGTTAAGAGTCCTAGGTATTTACCTGTGCAATACCGTTTTTCTTCCATTGAAAGAAAATAGCCTAGCTATCGACAAAATGAGAAGAGGAAATTGACGCCTCGCCATAATTATCCTATTCTAATAGTTGGCCACGTTGATCACGAACATCGTACCGATCTGGTTGAGAAAAACTTTACTTAAATGTTCTGTTATCTCGAGTGTTTTTTTGCTGTACCTTCATAATTCCTATACCCTAAAAATGATAGTTATTTCGTTTTATAATGCTCATAAGATCCCACAGATAGATAATAATGTCATATTAAATTATATATATGGTATGGCTATTGACAGTCCTGGGGTGTCAGCAAGGAGTTATTGGCAATTCTGAGACTGGCAGCAATGAGCTGTTGACACCCCATCAAACTAACAGCAAAGAGCTATTGACAGTCCAAAATCCACTTACGCACTGTATAAATGTATATGCGTTATTCAAAATGTTATGTTGAACTAATTCTGAATTTTACGGTGTATAAGAGGTGATTTCGAGTATGTGGGGTGGCTGTACATGAGAGTGAGCCGCTAGAATACTTGCATGTTACATGAAGATGATGGTCTTCTTTGAATAACACATTTGTGCAGTGTATAAGTGCATTTTGGACTGGCAATAGCTCCTTGCTACCATTCCGGGGATACCAATAGACCTCCCCTTAAATTATATTAGATTCAACCATTTGTCCATTGAGGCCAAAGCGTTGCATTATAGAATCAACTAAACTGACATAATTTGAAAAGTAAGATATACAGTAGAATCTTTGTTTCAATAACAACACCAACTTTGTTTTGAAATAATGAAATGTCAACAATTAAATAAAAAGTGGTTGAAGAAAATGTTTTACGGATATAACGAATAACACATTCGCTAAAACTTTAACTTTCTTTTTACATTTGACGAATTTTATACTGATTTTATTGTATCTATTTTCATAAAGAAGAAAAAAGTGAGAAAAAAACATGATAATCGGTTACATTTTAAATATAGGAGGTAAGGCAGGAAATCAGTCGTCCAGTTTGTTATTTCTAAAAATAAACAAGAAAAAAATAGAATTATTGTTATCAGCATGATCGTTCAATTCTTATACTTTAAATGTAAGTCAACGGCCTATAACGATCCTAAAAAAATTCAGACATATTTTAAAAATATTATACTACAATCTTAAAAATCATCATACATAGTTGTGTGGTTGTTGATAATAGTCAATATTAGAATCATTTTCAATGTTGTCATCATCATTGTCATCATCATTATCACTTATTACTTCATCATCATTTTGTAATGGAAAATCATAAGCATTCACCAATGTTTTTGGAAAACTCCAACGATTATAATCTTCTTCTTGATCTTCTTCATTATCACCCAAAGAAACTAAATATGAATCATCAATGTTTGGTCTTGAGTAATATTCATCATTATTATTGTTTTCTTCATCATCATCACCATTAATATCGTTATTATCTAACAAATATGGTGCACGACGTAGATGAATATAATGTGGAGTGGAACGAATATTTCTTTCATAAGTTGATGGATACCAGTATCGTCGACTAAAGGAAAAATAGTCATTCTCGCTGAATCGATTATACTTTTTTTTGGGAAGGAGGGGAAGATGTGTGTGTATGAAAAGATATACATACTAAATATGATTGAATCTAGAGAGCTGAGGAGTATTAATTACGTCAGCTAATGGATCATAATCGTACACCTGAAGAAGAAGAAAAAAAAAAATGTAAAAATAAAATATTTTTTTAGATTTTCTACTTACATTATCTTCAAAAAAATCATAATTAGATAAACTACGTTTTCGTCGTTGGCGTTGTTCATTCGATTTACTACTTAATGCCGTATTACTACTGCGCTTTTTACGTCTAACACTTGATAATTCATTTGGATTCATTTTTGTATCCGTAAAATCTTCAACAACAGAATCTTGAACAATTGGTTCTAAATGAAATGATTATGGTTAAAATGTGATAGATTGAAAAAAATACGATTCTTTTTTAAACTAATTATTAAACTCTATTCAACCACATTTGTTAAATGAAAATACTTTATAAATTCTTTATTAAGGAATAAAGGTTTTTTTCATTATTTTTTTACTACTAAAAAGTTAGCCTATATCTTTTAGTAATAATGTTCTACTATTTTAAAACTTTATTCTATGCTTTTCATGATTATCACTACTATGCGTCATGCTAAGATATTTTAAAAGAATTTAAAAAGTAGTTAGTTAATAGGAGGAGAAAAATAAGTTTTTGTTAAAAATCTAAAAATTTATTTTCAGACTTATTCTTTAAGAAAGAGTAATCTATTTGACAAGATATGTAAAAACCTTCAACATTTTAGCTCATTAAATGTCATTTATCATAGTCTTAAACACAACATGGTTTTAAGAGGAGAAAAAAAAAAAAAAAGTTATAATTCATCTTCATCATAAATAGAACTCTCTAATTCACTGAATTGAAAAAAATTTTCTGTTTTTTATGCATTGATAATCTTGAACAATAGTTTTGAATAATGTCTGCATTTATATCATCAAATTCTTTTTTTTTTAATAAAAAATGAAAGTTGTGATGAAAATTATTTCCACTAAATAAATTTTTTTGACATACTTATATTATACGAATAAGAGAGCAAATGAAATAATAAAACAGATGTGATAAAAAATAGACTAAACTACTTCTAAAATCATCAAGATAAACATTTGGTACGAGATAATTTTTCTCCTTTTTACTTGATTTGGCTACATATTAGAAAAAATAGAAATTTAATATTTGAATAAAATTAGATAAAAATTTTAATAATGATTTGACTCACTCATTTTCATCTATCCAAATAATCAAGAATCAATTTTGAATGAAAAATTGTTCAATTATTGAAATTTTTAAAGTCTTCCATTCAAATGTTGGGAAAAAAAAAGTGAAATTCTTCTTTTTTTGAATAATAAACTTACTGTTAACTTTATCATGTTTTGTTCCAGTTGTTTCTTTTATTAATGCATGTAAAATATGTTGATTATTTTCTTCTTCATTATTATCTTCTTCAGATTCATCATTACTAATTCCAAAATAAGATGGATTATAACCATGAGCAAGAAATTGATTCGAATAATAATTGTTTAATTCATCATTATCAACTTCATTCTCCGAATGAATATTGTCATTTAAATAATGTGTGTCCCGTCGTTTTTTTTTCTCTTCTTCTTTTTGAACAATTGGCAATATGGCTGGTAAGTTATTAGTCAATTTTGAAATTGATGATTGAACATTCGATATTGAACTTGAAACGGTGGTAGTAGTTGTTGTTGTTGTTTTCGTTTGTAATTCATCGTCAGATTTTTCATCTATATCATCAGAATTACTATCAAATATAATTTCTTTTTGACTTATTGAAGTGGTAATTTCTATAATATATTGAGAAAAAAAATCATAAGTAAATTAAATTTTTAAATAGAAAATGATGAAAATATTCAGAAAGTGCATGAAAACTGTCTCCTTATCACTTTTTATTAATTCATAGAAAGAATCGATCAGTTTTTAATACGAAAATTTTGCAATATATTTTTTTTTTCTCATTTCATTATTTAGATTAATATTTAATTTCGAAACAGTTGCAAAGAGTCTCTACAAATTTTATCTTATTCAGAGTAGTCTGAATTTTTTATTTTTTGTTAAAATGAACAAGGATACTTTTCATACTTTGTGGTATTTTGTTTTCATCGCCAGTTGGATTTAAAACAACTGGAACAGATATAATAGAATGGACGATAAAAGCGAGTCCATATACAACACAAATAGAGAAATGCATCTAAACAAAAACAAAAGAAAATTTGAACTTGTAAAAAAAAGGTAACATTAATCATTCATAATAGAAAGATTAAAATAAGATAATGTAAAATATACCGATGCAATCCCAAAAAAAGGATAGTCTTCAGTACTAAAAAGAAAAAAAAAATGATAAAAGTCGTTACTTTCATAGTATATAGTCCGTGTTGTATCATTAATCTTTTTTTTTTTAGAGAAAAAACAATAACGTCATAAGTTTAGTCGATATAGAATTTATTGACTCAAAACGCCTCGTGCAATTTCCATTTTTATTTAATAGATCAAAACATCGATAATAAAAAATGTGTTCAGATGTACTAAAAAGAAGAAAAAAAAAAGAAGACATATCTAATAAAGATTATCTGTTTGTAATACTACCTATTTTATGAGAAATTTGTGAAATAAAAGAATTACAGTAAATAATTTAAAGAGGAGAAAAAAAACTAAAACCAACTAAATATGTAGAAAAAATGTCTCTATTACTATAAAAGTTCACACTATCGCAATTATTACAAAAGGTTTTGATTTCTCTTTCTTCTACCTTGAAATTAAAAAAGGTATACGAATATGTGTTTAATTTAGAAGAAAAAAGTGATCTCGTTCAACTCATCTCCGTTGTATATATGTTCCACTTTTGAACATCGTCGTCGTTGTTGTTGTTGTCATTTAAGTCATCCAGAAACCGGGTGGTGAATTTGTTTCTCCTTCTCTATTATTTTTTCTCGTATATCTTTGCGAACAAAAAAAAAAAGAAAAGAATATGAACCGAAGTTTTTTTTTTTTTATTATTCTTTTTATCTATCTATAAGTGAGAAAAAGAAAACTCTAAAATGTCTTCCATGCTGGTATATTAAAAAAGTTTGGTTCCCCTCTTTCTTCTCGCTTTAAAATTCCTAGAATAATCAAACTTTTGACGAATGTTTTTCCAGTAATACATTTTTTTTCTTCTTCTTCGTTTTATTATCGTGTCATTTTTTTTTCCTAACAAGCACATCCAAACAAGAAAAAAAAAAAAAAAGAGAAAAACTTATAGTTTTTTTCAGTTAGGACGATGATAATTGTGTGTTCATAAATTTGACTGTTTTTTCTTCTCCTCTTTTCTATTATTCCATCATGATAATGATGTTGATAAGAGTTTTTTTACAAAACTTTCGTCTATAACGCAAGTATAGATTCAAAGTGAAGATATTTCTTTGTTTTTATGACAATATTAAAAGAAAATAAAACAAATACGGAAGAATTTTTGTATTCTTTCAGACTTGATGTATTTTGTCAAACAATTAGACGTATAGAAAGATAAAAGATTTTTCTTTATTAGACAGGAGAACAAAATTTTCAAGAGTTATCTCATTGTTCAGTTTACTCGCATACTCATAAAAATAATTGATCTACTATGCATTTCAAATTAAAATGCACACCATTGTTTTTTTACCATAATATATGATAGGAAAAAGACACAGGTCTCCGGTTTCCGCCATTCGATAATGAAAACCAAAGCATGCGATTCGATGGAGAATAAACAAGTGTCATCATTAGACAACCAGTTTGCTATTCCGAACGTTATCATAGAAATATTTTCATCTTATTGGTGGATAAATAGTCTGAAAGGTTCTCTACAAAACGAGATGTAAACAAAACTTACTCCTTTGGTGGTTCAAGAATGACTTAGGATATTCTGGAAGTCTTATGAATGATATCCAATTCTAATAAATAGCTTCAAGAAGGAATGAAACGTACAAAATTGATCATGTTAAGTCTTGTGGCAATGCTTGTTCGTCGATAAAAAAAGTTAAAAAATCTGTTTTTCAGAAAAATACTTAATTCAAGACTATGTTCGTAATTTCTTTGACAAAGTCATACCGTGCCGATTCAAACGAGATGAGAATGTCAGAATATCATTAAAACAGTACTTTGAAATTGTGGATAAACTTGACTTCAGCACAGTTTTATGAAATAGTGAGCTATTTTAAGAAATTTTAAACGTTTATTTCAAAAACGTCAGAAGAATTATATATTTACTAGGATCTAATCTCTTGATTTTTGTCGTTATTTAACGGTGATAAAGAAAGTGAAATATAGAACAGCTGTTTTTGCGCCATATCCAAGAATCGAGTATTATCGTTGATCTTGTAGTATTATGAGGTTCTCTAATCTTCTGAATCGGTCAAGTTTATTCGAGTAAATGAAAACTCGTCTGAGAAGGTTTTGTCTAAAGTTAATCAGAAAAAGTGAGCAAGTAAAGTGATGTTTTTAGTCATAAAATAAGTTTAATGATGTATGGAGAATACAGTAGGAAAATGTTTTTAGATAGAAAAATTCATATACAGACCTTAGAGCTTAACTTTGTCAAAAAATCAGCATTTGGCTTCACTCTAGCCTATGTGTTCAAAAGTTAGAAAAATAATCCCGTTGAATATGCCGTGAAAAGAGATTTCGATTTATATAAGATAACTCAAGCTTTTATAAAAAAAACAATAAATGAGAAAAGTAGATTCTATTGGCAAAATAGGTATAGAGATATTTTATTACTATTTTTCAAATTTTTGCGTATGAATATATCACCCAATAATAAAGTAATCTTTAACTTTTGTTGACCAGTTTGTTACGTCTATACATCTGTATCTTTCGGCAAAAGTTGATAAAGAATGAAGTTTGTTTTCATCAAAAAATAAGACATTTTATACAAAATTTTCAACTACACATTATATTGATTTCTTCTTCTATTGAAAACCATATTTTTGCATTCAAATGACATGATTTCATAAGTAAAACAGGCGTCAAATAATCGAAGTGTGTCAAGAATACTGATTATGGAGAAGAGCCTTGAAAAAGTCGGACTCAATTTGTCTTTTCGATATGTAGACGAAATTACACCGCAGCGATGAAGCGAACACTATCGAACAAAGGGAGAATATTTTCGTAAAATAATCTTATCAAAATAGCAAAAAATAGCTTCGTCATAGATCGTGTTAGTTGCATATTTTTCTCCTAGCTTGATTTGATAAAAGAAATTATTTATTAGTTTTTCTAATCTTGTATACAAAATCCGCTTTTAGTATTACATACACTACAGTCTATGATTTATGACTCATCTTCATCTAGTTTATATCCTTAATATACGTGTATAGAGATATCTAAGATAATAAGTTCAGCTTTTGTTTTATACTAATGTACCGAAAAAGAGAGAGAGAGAGAGAGAGTACATTTTTACACGAAGACAGACAGAAAAAAAGTGCAAGCGCAATTAACAGATTTTTGAATAAATACAAAGAACTCTGACTAATAAAACATAGAGCAATATCATTGTCGATGATGAAAATAAAACGGAAATTATGGTTATTATTCTCCTTATTGTAGTCAAGTATCCTAAAGATAGCTTACTTAATATTTTTCAAATGTTTTGCTATTCCATCAGTGCGATACGATCTTCAGTTTCATCGCATCGACTACAATTAACCCTTTGGGGACGGGTGACGTTTTAAAACGTCATTAAAACGTCAAAAATCGGAATAAGTCGTGTTTTCCAAAACTTTCTTTTGAAGAAACGTCTCTCAAAACTAGATCATAATCAAATTTCA